GGTGAACACAATATCTTTATTTATTTATTTATGTGGTGCTGAGGATCGAACCCAGGGCCCTACACGTGCAAGGCAAGCTCTCTACCACTGAGCCACAACCCCAGCCTGTGAGCTTGATCATTTTTAATATAAAAAATAACTGGAAACTCATTGAGACACATCGATAAACATATAATGCAGATCGTAGGTGGCTCCATGACTTTTGCACTCCCTCCTAGTCTGTGTTAAAGTTTGCAGTCCTGGTGTCATGTTCAAGATAAGGAAGGTCCCAGAATGTGAGTCACATGGAGAAATGATTTGGGGACGTGTAGTTTGGAGAAGGAAATGCTCTGGGGGCGATATGATCACTTTGTTCAAATATCTAAAGGGCTGTCATGAAGAAGAGTGATTAGATTCATTTTGCTTGGCCCCATGGGGTGCAAAACTGAGAGCAATGCATAGAAACATCAGAGAGAGGGAAGTCTGCTCTCTGGTAAGAAAGGTCTGGGAATAGAGAGCTCTGGGTCACTTTCAGGATGGAAATTCATGCTACTGTCCATGTGACAGGCCTTGTCATATCACAGGGGACTTCTTCTTTAGGTAGGAAAGGATATTAGAGGACCACCATCATCCTTTCTATATATAAATTTTCATGGAAATTGTAACAAGTCTAGTTAGAGTTACATGGGCTTGGGATAAAAGTGCTCTCTCGTGAATATTAAAACTACTATGACCACCACCACCGCCACCACTACAATTATAATGAAAAGCCATGTAATAATGCTTGCAAGGCCGCCCCTAAGTGCCCAGTACATGTTTTCTCTGTTGGACATTTTGCAAACACAGTGTTATTTAACCTTCACAGCAATCCTGATCGCTGATGTCATCAATCTCATTTGAAGTTGTGGGAACTGAGACTCTGGGAGATAAAGCCAGATGCTCATGGTTTGCAGGACAGTAACATTAACAACCCACATGTCTGACCACAAAATCAGTTCTCTTGCTGTTTTGCAGAAGGGCAGAGGAAAAAGAGAGAAGTATGAAGAAAAAACATAATAATTCTAGATTAAGCCAGATTTACTTTGAAAAAAAAAAAGGTGGCGCTCTATTCCTGAGGTTTTCTAATGTCTTGTGTAACTCACTAAACATCACAGGTTTTACAGGCTGCAATTATTGATGACAAATTCATTTGCTTCATTCCTTCTCTGAGTATCCCATTTAATCCTGAGGACACTGTACCCTTCATAGGAAGAGCTGCTTCAGGGCTCCATGAGAACAGACCACCTTATGCACATGGTGCATATACACCTCAAAAAGATCATCTGCAGATGAATGAAGAAAATGTGGCATATAGGCCCAATGGAGTACTATTCAACCATAAAGAAGAATGAAATCATGTCATCTTCAAGAAAATGCATAGAATTGGAGGCCATTGTTCTAAGGGAAACAAGGTAATCACCAAAAGACGAATATTTCATGCTTTCTGTCATATGTGAAAAACTTTTAAAAAGATGACATGAAAGTAGAAGATTGACTTTTGGGGTAAGGATAGAAAAAAGAGGCAAAGAGAGGGTAGTAGGGAGGGTGGAGATAATCAAAGCACAATATATGCATGAATGAAAATATCACAGTAAAACTCATTGATTTGTATAATTAATACAAGTTATCATGATAAAATAGAATTAAACCTTTCTAAAAAATATAGAGAAATCAGGAGGGACTTACATAGGGTGAGCTGAAGAACTTGCAAAGGAATTGAAAGTTCTAAAATGGGGAGAAGATTTTGGGATACCATCAGCACATCAAGAACAATGAAATTAAACATGTATCTGAACACAAATGATTCTAAGTAATTTTGTAGAGATAAGTCTCTTGCCTCAAGGGATTTGAACTATCCAAGCTAGATCAGCTGATTCAGACAAACATATCAGTGGGAAAAATAAATGTGTGGAAAATGGATAAAGTGCCTGTGCTATTTTTGCACATAGGACATTCTCTTTCCATGCCCTGCCTTCTGCACTCACGTTTTGTCGAGACCTCCCATCTTGATATGTTTCTCTGTTTCAAGAGCTTTTCTTTGAAACTTCTCCAAAAGTTATAATCTACTGTCTTTGCACTATCTGGATACTTTTTCCCCCTTATTTGCCTTTTTTTCCTTTCCTAAACAGGTAGAAGTACACATTATGGGTTGCAGTATCTAGAAAAAGGCTCTCTGGAGAGTCCTTGCAGGATAACTTAAAACTTTGAAGAATACAGTGGACTCCAATGTCTGTTCTTCAGCTTTGCAAGTCCAAGAATTCAGTCTTGTCTGAGCTTCAGAAATGGTGATTGATTCAAGCATTGATCATGTTTTCCTAACACTTGAGTTGTCTGAGTGTTGAGAGGAGGCCATCTGGACAGAAGCTTATTGTCTCAACACTTTGGGGGTCATGAAGACAATTTTTCCTGAGAGGGGCCCAGTGTGTATTTTAAGTAAGTAAGCAATATGCAGAATAAATAATGAGCATGCAGAAAGTACTCAAGTAGATATTAATGGTTCCCAAATTTTCTTCTAAAGGGTGCTACGGCTCCAGGAAGTTCTTTTTGCTTTGATTGAGTACTTTGATCAGTTGGAGATTGAAACACTGGGATTCAGAGTCAAAGTAGAGCTACACTGCAAAAGTCAGGGTATTCTACTCCTCAACTTCATGGGGTGCCATTAACATCAAATCTGGGAAGTGATTATGGAAATTATTCCTCATAATGATCCAAGGTAAGGCCCCCTCCTCTATTTTAAGTAAATTTTATCATATTTGATAATGCTTTTGGAGTCTGGATTGTTTGGGGGGATGGATTAGTAAAAAGTTATGAGTTATGAATCTGAGCAGCCGCAGATGAAGCGGTTCTTTCCCGGCAGCCCAAAAACGAATGGAAGAGAGGACAGTTGGGTTACACATAATGATGGGATAATTATGTCTAACTTTTACAGTCACTAAAAGAATTAAAAGGAAACTATATAGAAGTCGCAGATGGTGGAGACATGTTTACTGTCTTTTTACTGGAGAATCAACTTCTATTCACTCCTCATAAGAAAGTAAATATGTGGATGAAGTTGGTCACCAAGAGAATTCTAAATGTGAGTGTACATGTGTATGTGTGCGTGTTAAGATTGGCAAGAAAAGACCTGTTATATTGCAAATGTGGGGCATCTCACATATAAAAGGGAACCATGATGCCTATGGTGAAAGGCCTCAGCTGGGTGGACTGTGGGATTTGAACTGCTAAAGGAGAGAACGGTCCACATGAGAGACAGTAACTCAGTGTCTCTCATTGCCTGCTCCTCTCATTAGATAGCCACACTTTTCTTCAAATATCTGAAGACAACTTTGGTTCCAGCCAAATCTTTCCATGGCCAATGATCCATTTGTCCATTTTAGATGATTTTGTGTGTTTATCACTCATTTTATTTGATGCGTTTCAATCTCATGGTGTTGTTATGTTGTTCTTTTCCTGAGTCCTGGAGATAAACTACACCTTCTTAAAACACCAACAATATATGACACAGCCAACAAAAGCTAGAATTTTCCTGGGAAAGAAATCTTGCTTTTCTCATTGTCTGCAAATCTGGAATTTCTAGCACAGAACAAGGAACAGCGTAGAGGCTCAATAAACACTCAAATATTTCCTGGCACTCTTTTGATGGAAGAACTTGTATACTATTTCACACATTTCTACAATGAAAGCATTTGCTTTATTTTTAAAATCTGTTGTTATTAAGGGCATTTTCTTGGGATATAGTGAATTAAAATTTATAGCAACCTAATCTGTCTTTCTCTAAACACATTGGTAATGCTTGGTATTTTTCATCCTGTGTTCTCTATGTTTCATATATCATTATTCCATGTTGTATTTCTTGAATAGAAAACCTACTGAAAATTTATTTTTTAAAAAATAAAACATTTTGTTATTATGGTCCACAACAATTAAGGCTTGAAATTAGAATTAAGGATTGGGCATTCTGATGCAGGTAACTGTATAGATATGTTAAATTTTTGTCAAGGTTTTTCTTTGCAGGCACAAAGTCATCATTAGGAAATATAATACTCATTTTTTGCTTGATTAATTACAGCAAAAGCATAACAAAATATATATTGTGTATTAGAGCATGCACTATTTGTAAAATTATGAATCATGGGTAAGCCAAGCCAAGAATCCAAAACATTCTGTAAGAAACTCACAGAGTAAATGTGAATTTTGCTTAAAATTCTTTTGATAAAGAGAATTTACGTATTAAAAATATGAAGAAACAGATCGTGAGAATGCAATTTACAATCCAAAATAATCCAAGTTGACCTCCTAGAGTCCCTAATCTACTTTATTTGTGTATATCCTTGGAAGATACCCTGATAAAAATACATAATAAACTATATTTAGCATATAATATAATAATAGCTACTATTTTTTTTCTGGACTTTCTTTTCACCAGATATCAAGATAATTCTGTCCCTATAATACCTTACAAAGTACATACTGTTATTATTGTTGTTATTATTATTATTGCTGTTATTATTGAACTAAACCATATTCTGGGAAATGCACATGTAGCAGCTGTATAATGTCTTAATGTTGGCAAATGTCTTATAGCCCAATCAAGACAGAGAACATTTCCATCATTCAGAGGTAGATACTATTTTTAGCACTAATTTCCACTTTAATAGAAAGGATCTCTGAAGAATTAAACAATTTATGCAAAGGCACTCTGATAGTAAATAGTTACTATCAGATACAAAACTGGTAGTCAAACCCATGTTCTTGTGCCTTACTATGACCCTCAAGGTTTAAGTTCAACATCTTTATTATATTTATAAGTGTGTGTATACACACACACACACATACACACACACACACACACACACACGAGAAAGAGAGAGACTTTGAAGAGGAAGCAGATTGGAAGACTGAATGAACTAAGCTAACACCTAACAGGGTTTTTCAAAGTTGCTCATTATGAGACTATTCTATTTTTTGTAAGACTAGTGGTTTATGTCCTATCCTTGGAAAATTTTGTAGGCTGGAAGGCAGACCCATATTCTGAGTATTTTTGCATGCTCCCTCGTGATTTTGGTATCACCATATATTCAACAGGATAGGTTATGAAATGCAAGGGTCACAAACCAGTCATGAAATATCAGAAACTTAACACGTCAGAATTGATTCTCACCCAAAGACCTACTGCTTGTGTGACCCTCCAGGGAAGATGTCCTACTTGTGGTACCAATCCATGGTGCCCAATCTGTGGCTTTGCCATCAAGGGTTTATGTCCTTGCAGGTGGTGAAGAAAAGAGCTGAAGAATTGTGCACTGGCTCTTTAGATCTTGGCAAAAGCCATTTGTCAGAATCCATCACGTGGCCTACCTCTTGGAAGGGGCCGAGAAATGTAGAGGATGCCATAGTACTTGGAGAAGAATGCATGTCTGCCAAAGTCAGGTTTTGAGAATTGCATACCACTTCTAAGTTTCTTTTGTGCTTTGTAAGCTTGTGGTTCTGATAAGGCAGGGGTCAATTTAATCATACCTTTTGTGGGAAGTCATAGCCCTGTGATCTATCCTTATGTAAAGTTAGCATGCAAAGCACGAAGCTGTCAAGTTGCTGCTGATCATCCTACCACCATCCTGGTTGGTAGGAACACTTTCAATTGTTCCATTATTCCTTTAAGTTAATATAACTAAAGTAAGCTGGTTTTGCCTAGAATGCCTTGCACTCTCACCTGAACTTGTTTCTGGTTGGATGCCAATTGAGTGCCTCTTGGTACATTAAAAAGCAAAGGTGATAAGGTCCTAGCCTCTAGTGGTTATGTGCTGACTCTGAAGTCAAAATTGCCTGGCTTCAAATCCAAACTCCATCATTTACTAGGTGTGTGAGTTTGGTAAGTGACTTAACCTCTCTGAACCTCATTTCCTCTTGTGTAAGATGGGGGTAATTATAGTTTCTACTCTCATGAGGCTGTCGTAAGTATTAAAAACGATAATCCACAGAAGTGCTTAGCACAGGGTCTGGCATAGGGAAAGCAACCAATAAATTTGGTCTACTTTTTATAATGGGATGTCTTTAAGACTGCTGATCTGCCAGTATCTAATAAAAAGAGACTCCTCTGCATTGCCTCATCCAGAAAAATGGATTTCCCTATTATATGCTAAGAGAGAAGCCTTTTTCTGTGTCTTTAAGTTAATCAATTTCAATTCATTTCCCCCACCTTCTTGTTAAGCCAGCTTTGACCCTATCTTTCAACCCAAAATGAGGACTTCATGAAAGTTAAAGTGAAATTAGCAAAATGGTATTTTTCTGTCAATGAAAATATAGCAGCTATAATAAGGCAGTGAACAATAACTCAAATCTCTCCTACTCTCTCCTACGTGAAGCTGCGTTTTAGATAACAACACAAGGATGTTAAATCATGCAACGTAAACTCTCTTCCCCCAGAGTGGTAAGTGAGCTATTTTCAACTTTCTGTTGTGACACCACTTTTTAGGTTGTGCCAGTACACCTATTATCAATTGACTTCTTTGCAAGCTCTGTGCCTCTTCTCTAAGAACGTTTATTGAGACCTCTTCTCCAACACCATCTAGACATTTATCTGAATGCATTGCATGGAATGCTAGCCAGACAGGCTTGTATAAAGAGCATTGTCCTCGAAAAGGTACTTTCTTGGTCAAATATAAAAATACTGCAGGCTGTACCCACCTCAGACATTCAAAATATATACTGTCACCTCACTATACATTAGCTCATGTAGTTCAGATTTCTAGACATTCTCGAGTAATGTCTGTTGAGTTCTGTTCTGCTGATCACCTACAAAACTAATTTGGCCATAAAAATTTATTTTTACAAAAAGAGGGTATTCCCAAGAATGATGTATTCAGCAGGATCGTGGACTGCATTGATAAGAATTTGAGCTATAGAACTTTGCCTGGTCCCTGGATTTAGGAAGATACCAATAAAGGAGTCATTGTTTAATCTTGTCTGATTTTACAAAGCAAATGGGGACCATGAGCATAAGACACTAATCTATTTGACAGAGCTGGACCAAGCAGAGGAGAGTAAGACATTTTTTGCAGGTGTTGTACCATTAAAGGAGCTGCTGAAAAGCTTAGGAATCAAGACAAATTGTGTATTAATGCAATATTTTAAAAGCATATTAAAATATAAAATGCCACAATGAACAAAATAGCCAGTTTTAAATACAGGCCAAATCTATGTTTCTAACTTTTGCCTTTTGTCTCCATCTCTGATATGTCTTTGTATAGTACTACTGTTCCCTTCATTATTTAACATCTTGATGTTGTTTTCATCATGGATTTTTTTGCAGTAGATATTGATACTTTAAAACAGTGCCTGGAAATATTATTTGTCTTGATTTTCAGGTTTTTTGGGGAACCCCTTAAAATTTATTACTGAGTGAGCCATCTCTTCGGTTCTGGGTCTGTTGCTCAATCCCTGCCCAAATCCAAATGGAATGGAAGACAAAATTCATTTTGTCTTGAAATGAGCTTCTGCCTAAAGCCAAGGTGAAGAGAAATTACCACAGCCATGTCAGAACAGCATTTTTCACAACAGCTAAAAGATGGAAGGAATAAAGGTCCACCAATGGATAAACAAAATATGGTATTCACATACAAAGGAATATTATTCAGTCTTAAAATGGAAGAAAATTCTGACTAATGTTACAACATGAATCAACTTTGAGAACATTATGGTAAATGAAATAAGCCCATCACAGAAAGACAAAGGCTGCATCATTCCATGTCTAGAAGATATCAAACACAGCCAAACTCACGGCAATCAAGAGTTAGAGTGGCAGTTTCTAGGGATTAGAGGAAGGGGAAATATAGAACTTCTGAATAAATATAAAATTGTAGTTTTGCAAGATAAACACGTGTGAGAGATGGTTTTCACGACAATCTGAATATATTTAACTCTACATATCTGCATACTTAAAAATGGTTAAGATGAATAAGTCCTATGTGTTCTATTTATATATAATCACAATTAATTTTTTTAATTAAAATTGTTTAAAAATGGCAAAGGTCAGGTGCAGAGATGCACATTACCAACAACAGAACTGGAGAGTGGGATGAAATCCAAACACCCCAGAAGGGTGGGAGAGAAGACAGACTTGGGGAGTGGGCTGTGTACATTCCAGCCTCTGGGCTCCTACCTGTCATTGAAACCAGCTACACCGGAAATGGAGCTGAAACATGCTCATTCGACTTCAGAAGCCTTTTCTGGCTCTCCTTCTTCTCCTTTGGCTACTTTCTAGGGAAAGAAATGTCTTTAAAAGTAAGATATATTTTTATTAGAGATCCTGTCTGTTAATGTATACCTTCAGAGTGCTGATGGACTGGCCAAGACGTGCAGCACATTTTGGATGCTTTTATAGGAAAGCTAAGACTTATTTTTCTAATAACTCTTTCATCTGCACATCTAGTTTTTCCATTAGGAAAACGAAAATAGCTTCTGGAATTGCTTTTTTTTCCCCCTGCCACAATAACAGACACCGCTGAGAGCTAGTCACTCTGGGACATATGTGGAATATGATAGTGGTACTATGAGAATAGTCTCTCTTTACTCCACACCCTTTGGGCAGAAGGACATTTTGTGACATCTCCTTCACAGTTCCGGGTCAGAGAACATCTTCCCTTGTGTGAGCGGAACGGAGATAATTTATAACATATGCTGAGATAATGGACTGTGATCTCTTTGAGGACAGATAGCATCTATAAATACTTTCAATAACTCAAAAGAATCTTGGACATTTTTTTAATGGTTTCTTTCCCTGAGACATACTTGGTGATTCTTTGTTGTTGGTGGGGAAGAAGGGGTGAAGAATAAATATGAGTCAGGGTAGAGATGAGATTAAGCTGTACTAATAAACATCCCCCAAATCCATGCATCTTAAAAAAATGGGGGCGCATTGTTCTTTCATGCTACATGTCCACTGAAGATTGACGATGGCTGTGCATCCTGATATTGTCACATGCGATCCATGCTAATAGGGCAATCTTTCTTTGGTCACTGTAACCAAGAGTACAAAAAGGTACAAAGATCCAAGTTATTTCTGGTCAGAAGTAGCACACCACTTTGTCCACATTGCCTTGGGCCTAGCGATTTTCATGGCCTCCAAATTCAACAGGATAGGGTTGTATGATCATCTTTCAGGGAGAACCCCCCCCCCAAAAAAAAAATACAATGAACTGAAATAGTACAGAGGAATATACTCGACAGGTGGTTGAAGAGATGGAGAGAGAGCAACTACCCCTCTCATTATTCGGGAACTTTATATACTCTTCTCATTCATTTGTCATTCAGTCTTAACTACAGTAGGGGGGACACATGTTGCTCTATTTTTTTTGGGGGGGGGTAAAGTGGCTGACTTCAGACTGATTCAGGAAGCTGCCTGAGGCCACAGAGTTAGTGTGTTTTAGAGATGGAGTTTGCCTGTACCAGCGACTAACTCAGTATCTATGCTTTTCCCAAGCAACAGTGACTATAACACTCATGTGTGGACAAAATAAAACCTAAAACACTTATTTTGCAGACTGCTTTATAATGAAATAACCCAATATAGACACATGAGTTGGTTAGGCTGATAGGAAACACAGGGTGATGAGATGGATAGAAATGATGATGTCCTTTCAGGAGTGCAACGGCGGTGGAAAAGCAAGATTATTACTCCACATCATATATTTTCCACAAGAGAAAAAAACGTGTGAGCCTCACTGACCATCAAAATTCAGCTGATCAAACTCCTTTGAGACAAGTATTTTAAAAAATCACTATTTTGGGAACATATAGTACTGAATCACATACAGAAGTAAATCATGTATTTCCAGAAATGGCTAGGAGTGATGCTTTCTTACTCTTTAATTATAGTAAATTCATTAATCATACAAGAAGAACTTATAAAAGCAATGTATTCATATCAAAGTCAAAGGCAGGTCAGGGAAATCCCCCCTTTTGGAAGGTGTATTAACAATATTTGAACCCTTGTTCAGAGAACTCACCACAGTGCCCCTCCCCCAATTCTGTTTTAACTCTATGTTAAGGACATTATTAGAAAGAGTGAAAATAAATATTTGGTATAAATGCTTATTGTGATGTTAATGAGAATACTGAATTAAAAACAGAAAAGGACTAAGTGTTAAATCATGGGTAAATAGGTAAGTTAAATCAGGTGTGTTTGAAGAAAAGCTACCCCTCTGTTAAAAGGTCATTCGGCTGGGCTCCATGGCGCACACCTGTAATCTCAGCAGCTCAGGAGGTACGTAGGAGGATCACAACACCAGTCTCAGCAACTTAGCAAGGAGTCAAGCAATTCAGAAAGACCCCGTCTCCAAATAAAAATATGAAAAACAAAGAAGAAAAAATGATGTGATTTATTGGTAACTGGATGGAACTAGTGAACATCAGTTACCAATAAATCAGGCCAAGAATTCCTGAGCCAGACTCAGGAATTCAAAAATTGAATGTTTTCTCTTATAGGTGAAATCTAGAGAAAGGGGGAAAAATGAAAATTTCTAAAAAGGGGTGGATCTCATGAAAACAGAAGAGAAACCACTAGAGGAAGGGGATTAAGAGGGAGGGAGAAGGGAGAGCATGGGGAAGTACTTAGTTACTAAATCTACCAAATGGTGCTATATTCTTGTATGAACATATTACAGTGACTATATATATGTACACACATATATATACACACACACATATATATATATATATCCATTTATGTGTGTATATATATATATAATTTTAATGCACTAACTAAAATAATAATGATAAACGGGAGATCAGTAGACTAGAGCAAGCAAATGGTTAGGGGAAGAGAGGAGGGGAAGGAAAAGAAAGGTCGTGAGAAATGAGATCGATTGAATGATGTTATGTACATGTCTGAAAATGACATAATGGCTTCTACTACTATGTTTAATTATCATGCACTAATAAAAATAGAATTTAATAAAGACTCCCTTATGAAAGGTTCAAACTAATGTATGAAGGTGGTTTGGCTCTCATGTTAGGTGTGACAATCAGAATACAAAATAGAATATATTATAAAATCCCCCGCTGTGAGACAAGTGAACAGAAAAATGAAGGTATAAAGGAAAAGATAAGAAGGAAATATATGCAAATACTGAATCAATTCACATGTAGTGCTAGTATATATGCACTGAGTCTTTATGATGATAGATGATTATTACATCTATTAGCTTATTTATCTGGTAGGGATTGATGGAGAGACCATGATATTATAGACCGTTCTAAGTATAGCAGTGAATAAAATTGACAAGATGCAATGCATACAACTGTTGCTTGTATTAATGGAAGAGGGCATATGAGAAACGCATAACTGTATGTCACCTGTAAAAGCTCCTTTGGGAAAAATTAAATAGGATAAGGGAATTGAGGGCTATTGAGGAGGGACTGTTTTGAACATATTGGTTAGGAAAGGCCTCTCTGGAAAGATGATATTTGAGCAGAAGCTTGATGGAAGTGAGGAAGATGTCCAGGCAGGTAACTAGGGCAAATATTCAGGCAGAAAATACCAGATGCAAAGGCCTTGTGATGTTTGGGCTTCAAAGTACAAAGAAAGGAAAACCAGAACAAAATGAGGAAGGGAACAGTAATCATCGAAACAGAGAAGTAGTGGTTGGTGGCTGGGGATAATCAGGTGAGCCTTGTAGGCGATTTTCAGGACTCTGGCTTTTTGACAGAAGGAGACAGAAAGCTATTAGAGAATTCTGAGCTACAGTGTGGCATAATCTATCTTCAAATGACCATTGTGACTGCTGTGAAGGGAAGAGACTGGAAGCAGGTTAGACAAAGCAGAAAGAGCAGAGAAATACAGGTAGCTTTGACTAGGAGACAGCTGCAGAATACAGTGAGGGATGTTTGAATTTTAAATATTTCAAGGATGAATTTGGCAGGTTCACTTACAAATTGGAAATGGTGTGTGAGACGTCACGAAGACTCTTCCTTGATTCTCAGGTATGTGCACTGAGAAACTAGAAACATCAAATTGCCATTTATAGAGAGAGAATAGGAGAAGGAGTTGGGAGTGGGATGGAGAAAAGTCAGGAGTTTGATTTGGGATGAACTAATTTTGACATGTTTAGTCAAATATGCAAATAAATGTGTGAAATATTAAGAAGGTAGAATTTAGGAAGTAAGTAAAGTTATATTAAAAAAAGGGGCACATCACTGTTTAAAGCTAGGGAAGAAAATTGAAAAATGATAACTTGTGAGGTAGGTAAAAAAAAAACAAAAACAAAAAACAGTGACTATAGTCCAAGGTCAAATTAAGCATTGGAAAATGGAAGGATTTTATGTCAATTCCTACTGATGCAATATGTATGATGATGACTAATGAATGACCATTGCACTTGGCGACAGAAATAATTGACAAGAGTTGTTTTAGTGAAAATGTCACATTGCAAGTCTAATTGGAATTGGTACAAGGGAGAATGGGAATGAAAGAAACCAAGACAACTGATGTACGTCTATGAATACCACTCTAAAGGCAAAAAGAAATAACAGGCAGTTTTAGGTAAGATGGGAAATATTACAATGTCTTTGTAAGATAATGAGAATGATACGGTAAGTGGGGGTAAGTTGATAATGAACAAAAGAGAAAAGATAAAGAACAAAAGTCATGTCCTTGGCTAGGTGAGAGAGGGCCCAGGAGACAACAGAGAAGTTGGCCTTTGAAGTAAGATGAATTCATTCATCACAGCAAGAGCCAAGTCACAGTATGTGGAGGTAGATGAAGGGATGTTGCTATATTTGGTGATGGTCGCAGGTGGAGTATCTCTTCTGATATAGCTTCCATTTTCTCAGTGAATTAAGAGAAATCATGTTTTCTTCCCAAATTGCATAGGAGTAAACGATAGAGTCCTCTGGATTCCAGATTCCAAAATATATTCTTTCTAGGACACTACAGTGGTCTTGTCTAACTTTCTGCAGGGTAAAAAATGAAAATACACCTACAGTTTAGTGTTGGTGTTAGTATTTGCTGTTAATATTCTGAAGAATGGTTATTTTCCATTTACCAAAGTTCATATTGGAGCCATTTTCATGGCCAGAGGCATCCATTTAGCTTTTCCACTTATATATATACAATAGCAATTCCTTAGTCAATTTCCCATGGTTTCCAAGGCTAAAAATTAATAATAATAACTTAATCTCCATAGCAAGATTATGAGGTCAGTATTGGCAGCACTACTTTAAAAATAAGTAAATTAAAGCCCAGTGGGATTGAGAAACTTGATCCCCATTATACACCTCACTCTTTGCAAGGTTCATAGTTTTGCTAAGCATTTGATGGCTGAAAAGACATTACCTTGCTAACGAATTTCATTACCTTGTTAGCTTTCAGTTGCACCAAATATAAAATTTGTCTAAAATGATTGAAGAAATGATACTACTAATTTGAGTCCATGGAAGGTTGATTCAATGGATCATCATCCTCCCAAGGGCTACATTTTGCATTTCCCATTTTGCCACCCTTAACTTAGAGCTTGTCCCAATAAGGCAGCCTGGCACAGGCAGCTGGCTTTGTTTAGAGGCTGAACTGTGGAAACTTATGCCTTATTAAAGATGAAGGACAACCTTCACAGGAGCTCTGACTGTAGACTTTGCTAAGCCCTTCAATTGATGAGATAAATGAGACTTGGATTTAAACCAAGAGAAATGCAGATCTTGAAGCTGAAATGGGCTCCATCTCTCTGAAGACACAATCATTTAGAGGATATGGAAGACAAGATCAAGATGAGTAAAGAGGAAGGGGAATGGGAATATCTGTAGAGAGGCAGCTGATTGTCTCTCATGTCCAAGTGGAAGGGTTAGGATTGGAAAACAGATTGGACTAATTCCAAAATCCAGGTTTTCTTCTTGGTAATATTCTTTTCTGTCACTTTTTTTTTGTATTTCTCCTCGTTTTTATCTTCCTGTTCTGCTTATTTTTCCTTGTTTATTTTCTCTCTTTTCTTTGAGGGCCCTAGAAACAAGTTCCTACTAGGTAAAGCTTAATTCCTCATTATACACCTTAAATCATTGCAGAAAAATCCAGATTCTTGAGCCATAGTCCTCAGCACAGTTCATTTAGAAATGGTCTAAGGTCATTTCTTTTTTAGAAGTCTATTGGTCTTGGTTGAAAATTAATTATTTCATCAATTCATTAAGGAACTTATTTTATACTACTATGAATTTATTTATAAACTTAAATCAAATTTGCTGAGGTCAAAGAACTCATGACCAGCCCTATCATTTAACTGATAAAGAATTCTACATAAAAGCCATAAGGAATGACCTGTTTAAGATCAAAGTCAAGTATTTGTTTTTGTTTGTTTGTTTGTTTAATAAAACAAATGTCTTCAGTGAGAACAATAATACCAGGCAATGTACGAATAAACAGAAGGTGTTAGATAGCCTCAGTCTCTCTGTGATTGAGCTTTTCTTTTTCTCTATTCTCTGACCTTTCCTGCTGTTATGGGGCACACTGCCTCTTAGCTTTAGCTAACCTGCCCTGGTTGGTTTTCCTTTTAACACAGTGTGTGTATTCATTCTGCATGGCTTTTGCAATCAATGCTCATTTGCCTGAAATTAATATCAACTTTGAAGCCGTCCCTAGTCAACATTTATGAAACAGATACCCTGCTTCCTAAGTGTAGGAATTACTATCCTACTTTCTAAGTTGGTTTTTCAATGCCAATTTACAACACTATACGTAAAATACACTTATTTGTAAGTCTGCATTTGTCTTTTCTTCAAACTAGAGAATAATCTCCAAGAGGCCATGCTATAATTTCTATTATGTTCCTTGTTATTTCCCTATTACTCAGAGTAGTTTCTAGGATGTACTAGGCACTCATTGTTTTCATAATAATTGAAAAACTATTCAAGAAGCTCCTGGTCTATTGGGAAAGTCATGCAAACCAGCCAACCAACAGATCAACCAACCGTCCATCACCAGCAGCCATCCAACCATCTATCAAACAAACACTGTAAGACTTAAGGGTCCTTTGTACAATCAGATTCCCTGAAACCCTGCCCAGGACCAACAGTT